AAGGGATGAATATTGTGTGAACATTAAGAGAAGCTTTAGTGATGTATAGTTATGTTATTGTAGTTTGGATGTCCTCTATTCTCCCCATATTGTTACTGTCCCCCCCCAGTACTGTTACTATCAGACAACCTAAATTGTCTAGGACAGGTAGAAAGAAGGCGTGTAGGTGTCCCTTCCACAGGGCAGTTGGGAATGTAAAAGCTTGTTGCTAAGGGGCATGACAACTCCTGACCCTCCAATCAAGTTACAAGAAAGCTGTCTCCACAGGTAAATGGCAAAGAGTGGACTGACAGACCTTGGGGAGGGGCAGGTTTGGTTGACGCAACCCCCAGGGGTATAAAAGACTGAGCATCCATCTTGAAGATGAATTGGCCACATGGGAGGCAACCACAAAGGCTGCAATTCTTCCTTATTTAGTCCTTTTGTTGTATTTTTGTTAAAGTTTAATTAACCTTTTAATTTTTAAAGTGAGCAGTTGTCTCTCACAAACTTGATCAGCAAGAGAGTATTTCTCACAAGCATCAAGAGAGGAAGTTGTGACCTGACGTGCAAAGGGCTCAGGCTGACACAGACAGGAGAAACCTTGTGCCAGCAAAACAGGGCAGAACGCGACCCAGCTCACATGAACAAGGATGTGCAAAGAGCACTTTGTGCATTATGGTGAAAGTTATCACACCTTTTACACAAGATCATCACAACTGGATGCCTCTCTAAATGAATGGAGCATATAGTCATTACAGACTTCACCTGACTACCATGGCTTTTCAAATACAAAGGATGAGGATATTGAGATGCAGCTCACTAGGTCCCAGGATTTTCACATATTCAAAATTAAGCTCATCTGCAAAAACTGGAGTTTGTTAATTTGCAGGGATAACAGCCTTTCGCAAGGCTATTCTTGACATAATCCCAGAAATGGATTTACCAGTGTGTAGAAGGTTATGCTGTGGATTTTTTCTGTCTAGGTAGAAAATCAATATGAGAAGTGAGAACACAAGGCTTCACACATGAATTTTTTCTTGTAGGATGCTATTTGCTTAAAATTACATTTGTAGGTGCAGATTGCTGAATACTAGAGATTAAATGGTAACTTCAGCTTGGCTGCTCCTTGGTAGCTTATGACAATCAGTGTAAGGAAGTGACAAGCACTGTTTTGTCCCTTTGTAGAAAAATGCAACTAACAGTGAGTGGTATGAGTTTGAAACAAAACTCTGGAAGTCATATGCAGGGAAAAGAGTCTGTCTGAGACTCAAGGATGGAGTGCTTCAGCCAGAGGTGATACACAATAATCCCTATATTCAAAGTTATGTTTAAGGGTGAAATAAATGAAGAATGGAAGAATTGTATTGTCTCTTTAGGAGTGGGATACTGAATGCTGACTCTATGCATAAGCAATAGAGGTGAAAAGGCAAAAAAAATCCTAATTGTCTTTGTCTCTAAACCACTGAATACGCTTGTACAAAAGAAAACTATATCTGGAAACTAAAAAGACTCTCTATGTACATAGTGGTCCACACACATACATAATAAAGAACCCCACTTAGGCGAAATTAGTGGTAAAAAATCCTCCTTAAATTGTTACATTGGGAAGCGTCATTAATGACTGTCAATGTAATGTAATGTAATGTAATACAACCCTATTGTGCACAATTGCACTGCAGTTAGCAGCCCTTAATTTAAAGCCTCCACCAGAGACCAATATATTGCCATTTAACTACTGGCACCTTGCTCATAGGGTATTTTTACTGGCTAGTTAAAGTTGAAAGGGTTTTTTGGTTATTAGACCAATGAACTGCTTTTAGATTGCAGGGTTCTGGTTGTTTTTTATTCAGAGATTTTAAAGGTTTGCACTATAATTACCAGACAACTGACCTTTTCTTAATATTGAAAGAGCTGGTGAGATTTTCACTTTTGAAGAGAACCTCCTTATTTCATCCTCCCTCTTACTGTGCTTTTAATTCACATCTCTGACTGGATGAAATGGATCCTTCCTGGTAGAACTAAATGGAAAGAAATGTTTAGAAGATCATGTAATGCACTCCAGCTGCTGACAGCTGTTTGCTTTGTTTGAGCTAGTGTAGAAAAAAACTCAGAGCAAAATTGCCTCAAATGTGCAGAACTAGAGATTTCCCTACACACACTGTTCTCAGCAGACAATGTAGGAACAACATCCTAACACATTTATGAAAAGAGCTCTATTTGGCTTCATTTTTATAATTGTGAAATTGGATTTTTATCTGAATCTAAACCCTTAAGTAGAAAGTGTTTCCACTTTTAAGGGTCTTCTATTTCTGTCCACGAAACAGCAACATCAGGATTGTCAGATTTTATTATCAGAGTAAAACAATACAAAAAATGCATCCAGGGGAAGTCAAAAAGTAATCCATTGTCTTAAAAGAGTTAGCTGATGGTCTGTTAAGACAGAAGAAACTCTCAACACTTCTGCCAATGAACAGACATGTCTGATTGTAGAAAGCTCTCAAGGACTCAAACACAGAGGGTCATCTCTGCAGAATTTCGTATTTTTTAGCCAAGAAGTTTACACTAGTTGCTGACAGAGGGCAAAAGACTGTCATTGCCATAGACACAGGCACATCTGTAATGATTTTTTACCAATTATTCTTATAATAGAGAAGTATCTGTCTGTGATTTCCCAATGGGACTATTTATTATCTCTTTAAGATACATAAAGCTCATCCCATTTGCAAGAAGGTGAGACTTTGGCTTTTTTACACATGCATATTGGGAAAAAAAAAAATCAATCTGAAATGGTAGCATTCCAAAGAATCCCAAACACTACTGTGCAAGGCACAATTTAATGATTAGGGCCTTTTTACAGAATTTATAATTGCTAAAGCATTGTAATTTTTTCCCCACCCAAAAGGTCTGTTCTGGTAACAATTCTCTCTCATGGCTGAGTATCAACTTATTTTTACAGAGAATTTGTTCATATTTTAGGCAAGCTAGTGAGTTACGACTGGCAGCACCTGAAGGAAGAAGAACTAGATGAAGGCATGTCATGCCAAACCACAGGCACTACAAAGGTCAGAAGTAAGGGATTAGAGATGGCATCACAGATGGTGATATACATGATTTTTTAACTTGACCTGCCCACAAGGGTTTGCCACCACTGAGATATCTCCACAGTGTTAGAGAAAGTTATTCCTCTGACATACCCCATCTATAGAAAGTGGGAGTAGTTTTAATCCAATATACTATTTGAAGGCAGGTCTCATACAATTCCAAGCAGAGCATTTTTCCTGAGAAAGGACAGTGGCTTGCTCTTTTATCACACATTATTCTCAGATAAAAATGGTAAACCCAGTAGGGTAATTACTGCAGTCACCCAAGCAGGCAAGAAACCTTTGTTTGCCCATCTGCTTCACACAGTTTGGAGTGGGGATTCAAACAAACACCTCTTACTTTCTAGTCAAATACATTAATATGGCTGCAGGGTATGTAAGGATTTTGCCAGCCTCAGCTGTTGAAACTGTTTTGCTTTCTGCAAAACACTTGTATGGTAATGACAGCAAGGACACATCCAAGAAGAGCCTAAAAGATAAAATTCTCTAATTAGAAAATGCAGCCCTTGTTCCTCTGCATACTTGTTATAAACTGTACATCATTCACTAGAAAATGTAAACAGTTTGGAATTTAAAGACAAAAATTAAGATTAGAAGCACTTACCACTAAGAGCTTACCCACTTGGTCCACTCTCCTCTTTACCCTCTGACTTCAGCTTCTTTTCCACCCTTCCCCTGACCCACAGAGTGCTTTGGGAGAATAGGCCAGTACAACAAGCATAGGGGGCGAGGCCTTCTTCAGTTCTACTTTCAGGATAATCAAACATTGAAGGTTTCAGACTACAGGCAAGACCTAGGTCTGGTGTGAGACTTTCCCAGGCCAAAGTGTCTCCATCAGCCAGGTCTGGGACACAAGGAGGTGTGCAGGAAGTGCTGGATCAGGTGGCTTGTCTCTAGTGAACATAGGTTGTCCCTGGCTGTGAACCTAAGCTAGAACTTAAAATGTACCCGTCAGGGCTGGACAGCTTCACCTGACTTCAGCTACTTAAAATAGCTGTTTCCTCCTCTCCTGGACAACAGTAATACCATTTCCAGAAGATAATTTGATCCAATCTAAAATGTTGCCATTCACTCCACCAATTACAGAAGTAGCTTACAGGTTTAGTTTGCTGAATTTAGGTGAAATACCTCTCAAGTGCTGAAATATGCCTCCAGTCTCTTTTGAGGCACCTAAGACCTCTGGACTTAAGTCTGGATAAAGCTATCCCCCTGTAATACCACAAAATTATGTTTATTCAATAATAGCTCCCAGCTATTACTCACAAGATGTGAAAGACCAACGCAGAAGAGGACTTGCCTCTTCCCAAACTCCAGCAGAATGCTCATCACCACTATACTCTAAGCAACTCCACCATCACCTGCCAAACATGAGTGAGCAAGTCAAACCTGCTCAGAAGTCCTGCAAGTAAACCAGGCAGATGACCAACACATGACTCTGTCTGGGGTGCAGGTACAACTCTCAAGACTGCTTTCAGTTTCTCTGCTCAGCAGCAAAATACAGATTCTTTAAGGGGGCTCACTGGACTATGAAAAGCATTAGAGATCCTAGAGAAACATCTGGGTTCAAGATGAACAGACTTTACTATGTGTCTCAGTTTTAGATTTAGATACTTCACACACAAACTAGACATACAAAACTTCTGTAGATCTAGCCCTCAGCTAAATCAATGACATGTACATATTTTGTGTATATAAATAAATGTTTTTCTATCATTACAGTGTAAATAGAAGTGGTCATTAAGCTTTAAAATAATTGTAAAATAATGTAAACGTAATAATGTAAAATAAGCATAAAATAATTCCTATAAATAAGGTATTGACACACCCCATGTGACATACTTTTCTTATATCTAGTTAATGAGTTCTTACACATACCACTCCACAAATGCTGTAATCAATCTTACTGTTCACAGTTAATTTAGTAATAGCAGCTTTTAATGTAAACAAAGTTCAATTACAAACATAAAGAATTCTGAATCAGATCAGATGCAACTGTTTTACATCAGCATCACAAATTTACCCAGATACTTGTACTCAATCTGTAGTTATGTTGCTCTCCATAAGACGATTAATGAGAACTATAAAATCTAATGGACAACACTGATCCCCACAATCCCTGTTTGCTTTGAATACAGTTCAAGAGTACTAGCAGCACAATACAAAGAATGCTTACCTTGTAAAAAACACAGAATACCTGCTAAAAAAAGGGAATTGTTACTAGTCCTGTTTGGATATTGTATAGCTGGAACAGGGAAAGACAGGAAAGAAGTTATACCAGTCAAGACATAGATGGGCATTAAATAATCAAAGCTTGAAAATTTCAGTGTAAAAGACAATAGCTGAACCTACATGAAGAAAATGAATGCAAGATTTTAAACTGTGCTGTGTCTCTCTTCTCAGAAGAGAAGAAAGCCATAATGTTCCTAGGCTTTTTTCCAGAACATGTCCACTAATGAAACTCTCAATAGGTAGTACAAAGCTTGCAGAATGGCTTGCTTCACTTTTGAGTATATATAAGTAAACAGATGCACAGCCTCAAAACTCATAAAACAAATGCATGGTAGTCATAATGATAAAGTAGGCGAATGTAAATAATTGGTATTCTATTTTCTGGCAGTACAGCAGTTATCTGAAAGGAAATGCAACACCGAAGGTCTGTTACTTGACCCATAAGAACAAAAGGTTGTACTATCCAGTTGTATTCCACTAAACAGATGCTCTACGCACATTTTTCTTCCAGACAGGTTTTCCAGGAAGAAAAAAAGAATTTTTGGTTTGACAGGCAATTGACCCTACTATTTCTTTTTATAATACCCTTGTTTAGGAGCATTCTGTACACCCAAAATAAAGGATTAGGCCTATAGTCTCTGTCAGTCCTGCAACATGCTTACTAAGGAAGTTGTCAGACTCCACAACTACAGAGAACTATAATCACCTGTTGTTAGAAGCTCTGTTAGCATACGGTTAGGAGTGTTCTAGAAGACACTTAAAAAACCCTTTTGAGTAAGCCACTAATATCCAAGGGTAGCTTAAGACAAAGGCCAGCAAACAGATAGCATCAGTAATGGCTGACTGGTTGTTGCATTAAAATACCGATGATCACATTATAGAGCCTTCTACAGAGCTTGTGGTGTTAGACTGACACCTGTGAGTTCCTACAGGTATGACAGCTGCCTCCTGTGTACAGTAAACATATACATATTTAAAGCTCCTTTTGCCTTCGACGGCAATTTCCACAACTCACTTCACTGATACATACATCTTCCAGATAAGATGATTTCTCACACACCTCAACTTCCAAGCTTAGTGAAGCAACATTGACAGTTGTGATTAGGTTTATTAGGTCTGTATTTCTTTGCATGTATCTGACATAACTTCTTGTAAGTTTTGGCACTTTCAATTTACCTTCACACTGTCTGATTAGCCTTGCAGCTGAAATACTCCATATATATTTAGCAGATCATCTTGTTACACTAAGTTCTGTAATCTCACAGACTTTTCTGTATCATTTATTCAAATTTTCCCACCTCTTCTTTAGTTTTACAGAAAGTAATTTTTTGTTCCAGGGCTCTTCTGCTCTGAGAGTTCTGCGGTAACCTGAAAAGAGGATTTTTATAAAGTCTCTCAGGAGAGATGTAGCAATAACACAGATCCCTGTGTTATAATTCTTTTAAGTATCTCTGCAAACACTAAAAAGGAATTGTACAACTCAAGAGTTGCTGAGGGAATGGTTCCTTATCTTAGTTTCCTCATCTCTTTCAATAAACTTATCTTTTTCAATAAACTGGCCTGGTTTGCAGCTGCTGGTCATAAATTTACACATCTTCTACAGCAGAGAGAAACAAGCAAGAAATATAACAACTGTATCCAGCAGGTAACTATCCAATATCCTATCTATCCTATTTGGCTAGGAGAAAAACTGAGAATTTATTTATAGATTACACGCACAGTACATGGTCTATATCTCTTAATTTCTGTGCACCCCACCAGGGGTCACTTATACCACCTTACTGATGTTCCTCATCAGGGGCGGGGACAGGACACGACAAGTGTTCTTCTATTATAATAATTTAAAATATTTACGCACTGAACAGCCACTCTTTTACACACACACAAATACTTACTGGTATACTAATGAACCACACCTACAACATTTTGCAAAGATTGATACATTGTGGCATTTCCAAGCATGAAAAAATCATAAATCTGTAGCCTTCTAGAATACAGACAATTGGAGGGCCTGTTGAGGAAAAAAAAGAAAAGGGTGTTCCCTTGAAGTTCTCTAAGTTAAAGCTCTCTCCGGAGACCGTTCACTACCTTCAAAATATACATGTTTGGCATTAACTAAAGGTCTCTTGGGAAAAGCCACAACTTAATTCTGTTTAAAAAAATGTGTTAAACCAAGTAGTACCTAGAGAAGAGAGAGCACTGAGGATTTAATGTAAGGATTTTAGTTACTGAGATACACACTTATTTATCTAATGCGTAAAAAATAAAGTGCTTTTTATCAGGTCTCAATGTAGCGACACTATATAACTTTCCAACATCTGCAAAACAAATAGATACATAGAATACTGAATCAAACATACATGAAAACAGTTAACATCCTATCTGATTGTTGCCCCAAGTCAAAACCTTTCATATACATGGTACATACATATATATTCCTCTTTACTCAATATATTATGACAACATGTATTTCAGAATTTTGTTAAGAGTCTAAAAAAAAAAAATTGTACAAATATGCAACAAGAATCAAGCACAGAAGTCCAAGAATGACAAATAATTTGCTATCCCTGCCCACACCATCAACTCCACTCCTGGGAAAGATATGCCAGTGCTCTTCGCTGGGGTGCAGTGCCTCCACATCCTGCAAGGCACTGTGAGCAGCAGCTGTGAAGTTGGCATCGCCAGTAGTGAGTAGATCAAATACACATGAGTAAAAATAGATGTCCTTCACAAGCATCTTCTCATGGCATTTGGTGGTGGCTGTTTCCAGTGTGTACCCTGATCGGGGATGAGACACAGCACCCCAAGGAAGCAGCTTTCCCATCACAGGCAATGGCAAGTGGCCACTCTGATCAATACGTTCACTGGAAGGGCAGCCATTCACACACAGCTGCAGATCCTGGCTCTCCTCAAAGGCCATGACCAACTCCTGGGGCATGCGAATGGCCAGGGTCAGGTAGTGCCCAAGCTGGCGGATATACACCGTGGTCCCAATGTACCTTGCATGCATCTCAATATATTTGCCACTGACTTTCTCCACAATGTGCAAGCTCCTGGTGTTCTCATCTCCTCCACTTACTGTACCATCAACAAAAGCTGCAGGCAAGTCATCAGTCATTGCTTGATATACTTTCTGATCTGTACAGTCTTGGTATGATTTGAAAATAATAGTTATCTGTGGGGGAGGGGAGAAAAGGACAAAATTAGTGGAAAGAAACAAATCATCATCTCAATCCCATTTCCATTTTGTAACTGAATATGTCTGGAACTGCCCACTACCTTAAAACCTGACAGTTGTCCACAACTCACACCTAAGGAAAACAGCCTGTACACATGCTTAAAGCAGTATTTTACTGGATGGCAAATGTTAAATTTGTTCTTTTTGTTGGTCTGGAAGCAAGACTATTAGCATGTGGTAACAGCCTTGAGGTCAGGAAAAGAAAACACTTTATATTTAATTAAGCATAACAACTACCTCCTGCCTCACAGTTTCTTAACACTTTGGAAAGCATCCTGCAATGACAGAGAAGTATAAGAACCGAGTAATACCACAACGCTGGCAACTATGGCAAAACCAGAATGAGACCATGCAAAATCAGGGAAAGGTATAATCAAGACCAAGAAGAACAACTAGTCAAACAGCTCAGAGATCCTAGATACATTAGTCCTAGGAACTGGGAGATTTGACACTTTGAGTCCACTGTGCTAGAAAATGTGCCCACTGAGAAACAATGCAAGACTTGAAAGACACCCAAAGATGTGCCTTTGAAGAATGAGTGACTTTCAACATCAAAATCATTAACATAAAGCAAATTTTTTTTAAGATTAGAACTAGCCTTTTAAACCTTTCTACTTATTGGAGTAGGTCACAACAAAAGAAAAAGCAGGTCCTCCATTCTTACTTGACGGGAATAACTAGGCTACATGGCAGACCAAGTCTGGAGTGTCTAGCAGCTTTCCAAAAACAAAAATTAGAATGAGAATTCACATCCAAGTATTACAAACAGATAAGCTACTTCCTTTAGAGGAAAAATGACTAGAGGGGAATGACTTCTTGAAAAGGTCAAAAGACATTTTGCATTAAGAATAGATATTTTAATAATTATTCTCATCATTGATTGATTATATCAAATTAGTTACAGTCTACGATTTAAGTAGTCTGCTATGAGACTCACATTACTTCAAAACATATCAGAAGGTATTATTAAACTAAATTTAAACTTAAAATCTCTTCCACAGCAACCTCCCATTTTAGTTTCAGTTAACCATCACACTTCTGCACAACTTTTATTTCTGCCTCTCTGTTTTAAAGTAAGAGCGAGAGGTAAATCAAGAGCCAGTTACAAACAATTTGAATAAATCCTATGCCCTCATTAGCCCCACCTTTCTACACCACTTGTATAAGACACAAGTCTTCCCACCTCTATCCTCTCATTGCAACAATTTCTTTTTTGGCATATGCAGACATACCTAATAATATTACATTTATTTTCAACATTTGGTTCATCTCAGGTGGTTGATGCTTTGTCAGTGTTTGTCTCACAACACAGACACTACTTACTATTTTGACTTCATATGTTCTCACTAGTGCTGACTGGATTTTTCCAATGGTTCTTCCTTGCACTATTCAGTTATACAGCATGAGATGTATCAGCTATATACCTTGAGACCATCTGTGGTCAAGTAATTTGGTAAAGTGATGTCTGAGAACCACAGCTGAGCTGAAATTCTTATGCCCACAATCCAGAAAACGCTTAAGTGCCCCTGTTGCTGTAAAGATGACCTCACAGCTTTTTTCTCAGTAAAGTAAGCTCAGCAAACTACAGAAAAGAAACTTGAGGCCTCTCAAATTATTAGTATTGCTGCATATAATCCAGGCCATAATGCAGTAAAAGACCTTTTATTTTGTGTAACATAGTTTGGATGAAACAGACTTCTATCTCAGCCTGCTCAGACAAAGAAGCATAGCTATTTCCTTGAGCACATTTGCCTTGTTCTGCAGGGAAAACATAATTTACACACCTACAGAAGGTGTGTCTTGTTAGCACTTGAACAAGCCTGGAGCCAAAAGGAAGTCTCATTGTTTTAATGACACAATGAACTGGCTGCTTGATAAAATATTTAAGCAAGGCACCTGGCAAAATTTCTCAGGAAGCAGCTACCAAATTGATCTCTCCAGAACTTCCTCATTTACAAGAACGAAATGCACACAGTTTTGGAACACAGAGAAAGAACAAGAAGCCTTCACTCTAATTTAAGATTAGCAATAACAATGGATGCTGAATGAGAGCTGAAAGACTATTAGATAAATAAAGGCTTCCATGTTACAAGGACACCCTAAACACAGACTCAACAGAGATCATCAAGATTTTCCAAGGACATACTTGTATTTGAACACTGCAGCTCAAGACACCGATTTTGAATATTCTGTTGTCTTTTGGGTGACATCTATCTAATCCATTGGCCAGATCAGTAAAACGACAGTGCTGCATGGGCTTTGCCTTATCGCACACTCCTATCTCAGTATCCTGCCCTGGTACTGATAGATACTTCAGAACCTGTTGCAAAGGGAGATGAACCAAAATGTGATTGCAGAGCTTTCTCTCTTTAAATTCTCAAGGTATCAGAGAGCATTAAAAAGCAAAAATGGTTATTCCTAACAGATTCAACATGTGTTACATATGTTTATGTACCTACAGTACTTTTCAGTACTCTGTCTGGTTCCCAAGAACACCTTCACAAAGCTGCTTATACAGTACTGTTTACAGACTAGAGATTAGCTGCCCTTTCTAAACTTAGGATGGAAAAATCCAAATGCCAAAATCTTCACATAAAGAAAGATCTTTGAAACCACCAGTATATCAGCCTTATTCTTTGGGCACGTACAGAGGTCTTCTGCAGTACGGCACCCTGAAAGATGAAAATAAAGCTTTCCAGAGGTTTATCTGAGGATACAGTAAACAAACATCAGCTACAGTAAGATTACTAAACCAAAGAAATCCCACACATAAAATTTACACATTTCATTTTGGACTTCATCCTCCCATTCCTACTGATGCCAGTACTGATGAGTACACTGATCACAAAGCTTTCTTAAATTCCACTGCACATACAATACCTTTCAAAGATGGTGTTACTGAGCTATAGAACTACCATTTCTAGAGAAGACCCTAATGTGTTTGTAGAAGATTTAAGGCTTGTGTGCCTTAAACAAAAACAACACTTTCAACTCTTGAGTTCTTGTACTTATCTTCCTGTGGGAATCAGACACGGAAGGGTTTGATCTGCAGCCTTAGAAGAAGCTTAGATTGATGTAAAAATACAACACAGAGAAACTAAGCAGAAGAATCATAAACTTGTATTTCTATAGTTGTAGGTGAGAATGTGCCTTAAGTAAGTGAGAAAATATACTGGTAAAATGGTGTGAAGGGTTTATAATGTGTGGTTGTATGGAATAAGCTTAAGAGTTTAGAAGTTTTAACAGAAGTATATGTGTGCGTGTGAGTTAGAAGCCCATTGGATAAAAGTATCCACAGTGCATTAGAAGTAAGTAAAGGTGATAGGTTAGAAAAGCAAAATAAATCCTGTGGCAACTGTCTATTGGTTTAGAAAGTTATATACTGCCTTGTAACGAAGAAACTTGTGACTACTTTGTACTATGGCCGACTGCCTGCTCCTCTAAAATCTCATGGCCTCTAAGACTGGTGTTTATCTAAGCAATAAACTGGTCTTAGCCTGATGGTAGTCCCATCCCTTCATTTCTAGCAGCAACAATGATGCCATCTTCTCTAGTGTCACAATGCAATTACAAAGATGAAGGTACCACTATGTTGTTATTTTACAACGCATTTCATAGAATTCTAGAATTGTTTGGGTAGAAAAAGACCTCTAATATCATTAACTTCAACCTTTATTGTAACATTGCCAAGCTTGGGGAGGAGTGAGTGAAAAAGTGACCTATGGAAAAGAATGCTGGCTGTTCAGCCAGATGAACATGAGCCAGAGTGGGCCTAGGCAGCCAAGCAGACCAAGGGCATCCTGGCTTGGTTCAAACAAAGCGTAGCCATATGGACGAGGGCAGGACTGTACTCTGTACTCAGCACTGCTGAAGTGATGCCTCAAATCTTGTGCTCCGTTTTGCACCTCTCACAATCAGAAAGACACTGAGGTGCTGGAGCAAGTCTAGAGGAGGGAAACAGAGCTGGGAAAGATTTGAAGCAAAGCCTGATGAAGAGAGGCTGAGGGAGCTTGGGGTGTTCAGCCTGGACAAAAAGAAGCTCAAGAGAGACCTCACTGCTCTCTCTACAAGTCTCTGAAAGGAGGTTGTAGCAGGTGGGTGTTGTGATGAACTCTGTGTGTACGGAGACACAAGGCTTGACTCCATTTTTCTCAGAAGGCTGATTTATTATGTTATATATTATATTAAAATACTACATAAAAATTATACTAAAAGAACAGAGAGAAAAGAAAGAACAGAAGGCTACAAAGAACAAGAATAGAATAGAACGTATAACAAAATCCTGTCACTCCTCACAGCCTTGGCACAGGTGGCTGTGATTGCTTATCAATTGAAAACAATCCACATGGACCAATGGAAGATGCACCTGTTGCATTCCACAGCAGCAGACAGTTATTGTTTACATTTCTTTCCTGAGGGCCTCAGCTCCTTAGGAGGGGAAAAATCCTAGCAGAGGATTTTTCATAAAACATCATAGCTACAGGTGGGAATCAGTCTCTTCTCTCAAATAGCAAGTGACAGGATGAAAAGAAATGGCCTTAAGCTGTGCTGTGAAGATTTAGAATGAATATTAGAGAAAATTTATTTACTGGAAGAGTTGTCAAGCTGGAGCAGGCTTCTCTGTTGAGAAGCTTCTCTCTCTCCCCAGACTTCTGGGGAGTCTTCATCCCCAAAAATGTTTTAAAGGCAAGCAGACACGGCACTTATGGATCATGTTTAGTGGTGGAATTGACAGTTTGCGACTGGACTCAATGATCTTAAAGGTCTTTTCCAACCTAAATGATTCTATTGCAGCCTCCAGTGAAACTGTAGTATAAAGCTACTTCTACGTAATAAGACAAATTCATCTCTACCTTAAGCAAAATGTCCATAAAGATGAAAAGAGTAATGACATGTGACAAGTTACCTGATCCTTCTACTTCTTAAAATATTTAGAACATTTATCTTCCAATTGCCTTTTAATTATTTTTCTATTACACTGTGCTCACACTGCAATAATTTCCTGGAAAAATGACACCATGCTACAAAGAGATATTTAAAGTGTTTTGACTCTAGGTAAAAGAACATTTATCCCTCACACTCCTTTACCTTGTTGTTAGCACCAATTCCCAGGTTCCAAGGTTTATGCCAAATAAATCACTACAGTAAAAAGCTCCGCAGTTTTTTTCCTTCTCTGTGTCCTTAAATTCACTCTCTCACCCTCAAGTTATCTATTATAGAACACCTAGACCTCTCTGCCTCATTTGCTATTCAGGGACAATTACTTTAGTGATATCCAGAACACCTGTCACAGGTGCAAAAGGTTATAAAGACCTTGTACTCTTCCAAATAAAGCACACAATAAATAAAAATTTAAAAACCCCCAATGTTCTATCTAATGCACTGTACAATACCCTTCCTACCTGCTCCCTGTAATAGACATTTATTCTCAGGGAATTGCAAAACTACCTCCAAGACAAGGAAGCTCTTTATCTAGAGCTCCAGAAATCAAACATGAATAATGCCAGTGACCTACTCAAAATACATGCAGAAAGTCTGTCAGAAAGAAAAAGAAAGAACAGCTTAAACTTAAACTCAAGTTTCCCAGTTATTGATGATCTTCCTTTTCCATCTGAAAAGCCCTAGGATCCTATGCCAAGGGGCATAAGCACATCAGGCAAGCTCAAAAAACTGGAATTTTGAAGTTTCAAGTAGACCACAGAACATAAAATAGCTCTGCTCATGGTGAAATACCTATGTTACTATGAGTGACACAAATGTGCAAAACACCTACAAACAAATCGTCAAGAGCATTTTTGTAAATACACAACTCTCACATGATGTGCTCTTCCAATTAAGGGATTTAAGGGAAATTTAGATTAGTATTTGCTTGGGCTTCTGTACAATTTATGTTCAGCATATAACTTTGTTTTTATTTCCCATTAAACACCTATTTCAAATACGTGCAATGAAAAAACAGCCAGACTAACAAAAAGGAACAGTCTGAAAACTTTTCATATGATGAAGATAGAAGACCTATTGGCACACTCTAGGGATTACTCTATGTAGATAAACTGTCACTGAAGTGTAGCTCTTTAGAAGTCCTTTAAGCTACCCTGTAGCCAAAATAATTTCAATACATCCAACAGCAGATAGTCAACCACAGTTAAAATTGAATACTTGCAGAGGGAAATGTTACTGGAGTGAATGAAGCAGAGATAGTATAGCTTAACAGGCCTTTTCTATGTCATTATAGTAGGCTGCTCCTACTAGAAATAACAGAGTCAAGGGCATGGAAATATTAAAACTTATCTTCTAAGTCACTTGTACATTCAAACAACCTTCCTTGCCTACTGTTAAGGTGAACACCCCATGTGTGGAGACATGAGGCTTGACTCCATTTCTCAGAAGGCTGATTTATTATCTTATGATATATATTACATTAAAATACTACATTGAAACTATACTAAAAGGACAGAGAGAAAAGATCATCAGATGGCTAGAAAGAACAAGAATAGAATAGAATAACAAAATCTTGTGACTCTCAGAGTCTGATGCAGCTGCATCTGTGATTGGCTCTTAATTAGAACAACCAACATGCACCAATCACAGCTGCACCTGTTGCATTCCACAGCAGCAGATAGTTATTGTTTACATTTTTTTCCTGAGGCCCTCAGCTCCTCAGGAGGGGAAAAATCCTAGCAGAGGATTTTTTATAAAATATCATAGCTACAGCCTACAACAGGTGTGCTAAATTCTGTTATCTGCCAAAAAAAAGAAAAAGAAAAAAATTCAAGGACTGTGCAACATGTGAAACATATCAGCATTAGATATGCTGATAAATAAAACCATAGATCTTGTTTTATTTAATTGCTTCTGCACACTTAGCTGCACTATGACAGGGATTACTAGAAGAAAAAAACATTTCACCCAAATCAAAGAAAAATAAATAAAAAAAACCTCCTTAAAATAAATAAATACAGAAGGCACACCTTTTAGAATCATACCTTCCCTCAGTATGTACATACATTTACTCCTGGTGTTCTCCTCTTTATCTCTTTGAAAAGACATATACCAGCATAATGTGCTACCATAGTCAATCATTTTCAGAATGTGGCTAAACTTAAGATCATCTATCTAATACAACCACACCCTAACCATCCACACAATTTGTACACAAGAATCTCAACTTTTTCCTCTACTACTATCAGGAACAAGGAAATAAAGAAAATTCCGCAAGAGTTTAGCAAAACTGAGGATGAAAGCTTACTGCACATTATGAAATGCAGCTTTTTCTTCCACTTTAGAAAAAGCCACTGGGGGAGATTGCAGGAGATGTAAGTCTCTTTTGCAAAGCTTACTCACATTAGTCTCATTCCCTTATTTTATACACCTTCAGAACTCATTCACAATGAAGACCGTTTTTGAAATTGGCGTAAGTTAAGAAAATGTAATTCTGGGCTTCAGTCCAATCTCTGTTAATTCATCCAAGCACTGCCATTAGTCAATACTTCAGAACCCAGCACAAACTTAACAGTAAAACTGATTTTCCTATATTAATACTACTGCCCAGCTAACTCCACAGAAGATGTGTAAGCTCTACCCTACTGTGACAGACAACTCCTGCTTCTGACTCCAGTAATTTAAAAAAACCTACTTCCAGACTTAACAATACAGTTTAAATTCTCAGGTGTAAATGTCTTGAAGCTGTGTACATATAGCCTGGCGTAGCTTGACAATTCAAGAGCTACACTACCACAATTTTTAAAAAAGCCCTTCCACTCCAAAAGAGGTATGTGACAATATCAGCTTCAAATGCATGGTTAAGTAATTGATGGTCACACTTGCTACCTGCATCCAGCAGGGAGAGACTAGGACTTTTCTTAAGTTAAAGAAATGGCATCAGTTATTAAATACTAGCGGATGTATTCCTACTCTAGACTCCTCAAAGTATCTGAGAGGAGTGCAATCTTAAGTCTTGCCTGTCTCAACAAGGTTTTAATATTCTTGGTACAATTTTAAGGCCACTGCTTGTTTAGGAAAGTTTAGGTACTAAGTCCTTGTCACGAGCATTTAGCTTGCCTCCTCCTCTCAGTTCTCTGCAGTTCACCCTCTTGTTTGCTCTGAATCATCATTTTGGTAACCAGTTTTTTGAGCCACTTTCAGTATTATTTGTTTTCTACTGTTTTAGCTGTGAGGTTTAGAAAATTAATAAAAAGCAGACACGTCCATTCTTTTCATCTTCAAATTCCCTTCCAACGCAAAGCACTGTATGATTTTTTAAAATTTCTAATTAGTGCAGAGACAGTCACAGATGTACAATAATCAATAACTCTTTTAAAGTGTTACACCTGTATCATTACAGGCTTGTGTGGTGATAAGCACAGGTTTTCTTGTCTTAAGCAAGAGCAGAGGGAAGAAAAGAACCTGTTTTGTTTGAAGCTTATTAAAGATGATGCTAAGAGTTTTACTTTTTTATACTACTGCATAGACGATTCTCAAGCTAATACACTTCTTCACTGTTAAGGGCTAAATGACTGACTTAACCATCTTGGCCTTTTACTTCTCGGAGCATGCACAGTGCACAAAAATAATCTGTACCTTGTTTGTAGCAGTAGCGCTGGATCCTGGGACCACAGGCACATTGGTCACTTGCACTGATAAGTATTTATTGTCTATGAGGGGCCAAGCACCTTCCACTTTGCATGTCTGGAAGTGATCCTTAAAAGTCCTCAGATGAGGATCCCCAAACAAGCCACAGAACAGGTAAGTAGGAGGAGGTGTCTTCTCTCCCCCCTGATGTTCTCTCACTTCTGTGTGGCCACTGTAATTGCAAGGATCATGGGTCATTTCAGAGTTGGTGGAGGATGTGGGTCCATTTTTGGTACAGTTTCTCTGGGTCATGAGATCACCGATCCCAAGCACTGCAGAATGGTAGACTAGGTTTCCACGGCATGCTTTGGAATTGCGATAGGTACACACAGAGTATGCCCGCAGGGCCTTGCAGAACTCCAAATCAAAGTCCTCAAGAGCTGTATTTAGATGTGAAGTAAAGGATACAAAATCAGTGGTGCACTTCTGAATTCCACAAGATGTGTGCAGCTCACAGTCACCTAAGCGAAACAGACAGCAGAAAGACATAAAAGCAAACCTCTTTGGTGGCAATACTCTTTTCCACTCCCACAAGTACCATAGAAAACACCTTAAAAGAAACTTACAGTACTCACCCATTAGGGAAACATTGCATTTTAGAAATAAGAGGTTGAAAGACAGAAAGCAATGGAGACTATCTCAGAGGCTGACAGGACTAATGATGTCTTAATCCATTACTTCATATTGTCTAGACAAAAATTAAGAGCACTACGTCCTGTCAAGTACAAGCCAAACATTTCTTTCCAGATACCAAGGTGATGATGCAATTCTGTGTTTAAATTAATCACAAAATCAATAAGGAAGTCTCCATTTAGCCTTTAAGTGCTTTATGAAAGTTACTGAATTTTTATATAGAATTCTGCCCCTCAGAAGAATGTGGTAAAGGCAATAATGTAATGTTGTTTAGACATTGTTTAGATGTTAGACATGTCAAATGTCTAAAAATGTTTATAGACAAAAACTAGACTGAATAAAGCAAAAATTTCTCTTCTAGAAACCAGAGTGGGGGAGAACTGGTAGGTAAGCAGACAAGCAGTTTGCTTTATTTCCCTGGCACTGCCACAGCTAAACCATCACTGCTCATTTTTTTTGGGACTGAAGTGTGAAAAAACCCAGTTGTCTGAAGTGCAAGTTTTCAGGTAACGCACCTGTACATTGCAGTAGCTGTACCTTTCAGAGTATAATTCAGTAATAAGACAGGTGGAAGAGAAACTCTCTCACATAAAAGCCTGAAGAAATTATCAGAGGTATACAACTGCTACACAGTTCAGTTTGCATAAGCAAACTAGTCAGATTTTATCTGATTACCTGATTTCCATAAAAAAGCAGTTAACATCCTTGCAAGCAAACCCATGTTTCACAGTTGTCTCCTCCACAGTTCTCACAGGTATGATGTGAAATCTTTCCAGATTCTCATGACAGTTAACAACAGCTTTCTGAAGGCAACTTATACCAAAGAACTTATCAGGAGCAAAAATTAAATGAACAAGACACACTAAGGGCAACAGAGCCACACTTTTCACACAGGTTAAAACCAGGAGGACCCCCCAGTCTAGGAGAGATCACTTCCTGCCATCCAAAGAGAAAATGGACCTTCATAAAGAATAGGTGCACAACTTCATGCAACAGATGTCCAAGCCTGCAAAACTATCTACTAAAATTTATCTGTGGAACATTTATCTAAAATTTTTCACTGTCATGAAGTGGGTTTTGGATGCCACAAAGACACATGGAAGAGTTAAAATAAACCCAAAAAATGAAATAGATGAGAAACTCCTGAACTGTGAGAAGTGAAAAATAGGCTGAATAACAACATTTTTAATTTTTAAATAGCTATTTTCTGCAGTGCACCCAGTGATGAGAGGATATCAGCAATTTCTTTGCCTGCCCCTTAGCTGACCTTCCTGAGTCAGTATTCACAGGACTTACTCTCAATATCCAAACCATGAATTTATAAGGGCAATATGTTTTGCCAGTGATGAGTAGTTAACACAAATATGTCACAATCCCAAGACAACACACAACAGAATGAGGAATTCCTCACCTACAGCTAAACACGACCATGACTCGTGTAGGTAAGCTGAAAATTTTTGTGCAAGGCATACATACCTCTGCAGAATACAGAAAAAAAACTCCTAACAACAATCAACTCCTTTGTTTTCAGATAGACAAAAAAGACCCGTGCCAAGCAAAATGACAGAGGGAATATTGGGTTTAGAGCCAGATTTTCAAAGCATCAAAACTTTTACTTCCCTTCAGTTGCATTCATAATATTATTTTAATCACAAATAAATCAGGCTAGCTGAGCAAGTCTGTCAAGTTATCAAGCAGTCAAATAAATCATAGAATCACAGAATTTTTAGAGCAGGAAGGGACCTCTGGGGATCACCAAGTCCAATACCCCTGCCAAGGCATGATCACTTGGACCAGGAGACACAGGAACGTGTCCAGATAGAGTGTGACTGTCTCGAGAGAGGGAAACTCCATGACCTCCCTGCTAGCCTGCCTGTTCCAGTGCTCTGCTACCCTTAATACAAAGTTCTTCCTCATGCTGAGGTGAAGCTTTTTGTGTTTCAGTTTATAGCCATCGTTCCTCTTACTGTCGCTCGGCACCAATGAAGGAATCTGGCACCATCCTCTCGGATGGAGATATTTATAAGCATTAACGAGATCCCCCCTAAGCCTTCTCTCCTCTGACTACACAGGCCCAACTCGCGAATCCCTCCTCACGAAAGGCTCTACCGGAAGGCAAAGGACCCGCCAGCTCCTCGCGTCTGCGCGCACACGGCTGCCCTCCGGTCCCTCCCAGCCCCACAGTCCCGGTACCTGCGCCCAGCAGCAGTAGCCCCAGTGCGGCGAGCAGCCGCCGCAGAGCGGCGAGCGGCGCCACAGCCCTGGGGGTGCGGGAGGGCACAGCGCTCCCCATGCCCGGCCATGCAGGTCCCCGGGCCGGTGGTAGGACGGCGCCACGGCATGAGGCGGCAGCGCGGGCGGGCGGGCAACGTTTTCCACGGTGCTTCCCCCCTCCGCCTCCTCCTGCTCCAGCGGTGCAGCCGCAGCCACGGCAGCGGGGGATGGCGCAACGCGCACGAAGAGACGGACCCAGATGGGGGGTAGGGAAGCGCCTGCGCTCGCGCTGCATCCGCCGCGCCCCTCCCGCTGCGCCGTCTGCTATTGGCTATCTGAGCTGTCCGTCACGGCTGGCCCCTGGCGGCAACGACCCGCCCGCCGCGGGCCCTGCCGCGTCACTAACGGCCGAGTGCGCCCGCGCAGCGAGCCGCGCCACTGAGGCAGGACGGGTCACACGAGCCCGCCAGGGGGCACTGCCGGGACAGGGCAGGGAACAGCGCCGGGCTAGGAAAGGAAACACCCGGGACAGGGTGAGGAACACCGCCAGGAGAGGAGAGGGGCCCCGCCAGGATAGGTCAGGAACACCGCTGGAATAGGGGGGGTACCTCCAGGATAGGGCAGGGACACCTCAGGGGTGGGACGGGGAAGACCTCCGGCGCAGACAAGGGACACGGCTGGATAGGGCAAATGGCAACACCGGTGCACTGCTGGGAACAGGGCAGGGGACATCGGTGGGACAGAGCAGATGGCAGCACACGGACAGGCGTGGGTGACAGAACACCGAGACAGCGCAGGGGACATCACCGGGGTGAGAATTAGGAAAAGAATCTGCAGAAGATAAATGCCATCATGTCAGGATATTTTTTGATCCTCCTAAGGTAAACTTCCCTTTGAGTACGTCATTAAGAAACTAACAGGAGACACTACAGGACATCTCAGATGTAAATAAAAATACTGCTTTCAGGCTGTTTGTTTTTTCAATCTATTTCTCCTTTCTAGCAAACATATTTCTTACTGCTAAGACTAGACTGGCTGAGGCCAATTGGTCGAGGTTCAGCGAGGCCCAGTGCTGGGTCCTGCCCCTGGGTCACAATGCCTGCAGTGTTACTGGCTCAGGCAGTGGCTGGAAGGCTGCATAGGGAAAAGGGCGGGCATTCTGGCTGGCAGAGCCAGCATGGACCCAGGAGGCCAAGAAGACCAATGGCATCCTGGCTTGGGTCAGCAATAGTGCGGCCAGCAGGACCGTTCCCCTCTACTCAGGACTTGTGAGGTCACACTTCAAATCCTTTGTTTAGTTTTGGACTGCTTACATCCAGAAAGACACTGAGGTGCTGGAGGGAATCCAGATGAGAGAAATAGACCCTGGGAAAGGGTCTGAAGCACAAGTCCTCTGAGAAGCAGCTGAGGGAGCTGGGGGTGTTCAGCCTGGAGGAAAGGAGGATGAGTTTCTTGCTCTTCACAACTCCCTGAGAGGAGGTTGTAGCCAGGTAGGGATGGGTCTCCTGCCATGTCTCGAATGAAAAGACAACTGAAAACGGTGTTAAGTAGCACCAAGGAACCAGTGTTGGTGATTCTGTAATACAGTTCTTCAGGAAAAGCATGGACAATATACAAAATACTGTACACAAATAAAACCACAAATACAAAACAGACAAACTGATTCCCTTGGATTTCTCATTATTATAAAATTTCTGGAAAATAAATATCCAAGAAAGAAACTGTTCATTTTATCAATCACATCTGAAAAAACCCAACCAAACAACCAAAACCCCCAAACCCAAGCAAAAATCTGAGCTTCAATAGCCATTAAAACTAATGTAAATTGCCACAACCTAGAAGGAAGACCTTTGGCTTCTTCTATAGGTCACATAGTATTCATTAATCTAGCTGGGGCTCTGAGAACTATCATCGATGGTTTTCTTTTTCTTAGATGCTCTTAGAAAAATATTTCTGCCGTTCACTTCTACTAAGAGACAACACTCTTAATTTCATATTGCTCTAATTTAATTTTTTTAATGTAGTAACAGCTACTTACATTCCTTGAAGCTGTCTTTGTGACATTGTCACAGCAAGGGTACATGTACATGCTTCTTTTGGAGGCTCATAGAGGCTCACCCTGTCTGTTCTCCCTTTGTTCCAGAAGTCAAGTAGCTATATTAGTGCAGCTGATTTCCTGTCCATCTTCTGTCTCAAAGGGGTTTATCCTCACAAGATCGATGCCACAGCAACAGCCCTGGCCACAAGCTTTGTTTGGGTTCGAGCCGAACTGTGGCCAGATCTGAGCAGAGGCAGAATCTTCTCATTCTGAACTACACAGTATGCAAAGTTCTACAGCCTTAGATGTTCATGATCTTGTTCTTACCACTTAGCCTATAAATAGCTTACCTAAGAAGATACCTCATTAGAGGCCATACAGCATATTTCTTTTCTCTTAGGTCTAATATTTTCATAGTGCTATGGACTTTTTTTTCTGGAGCAAAAAGTATAAACAAAACAAGATAATTGACAGGGTGATATATATATAATTATGCTCCCTTAATTAATGCTGATTCATTCTACAAGCATAGCCATTGATTTATGGAACCAGATTATGTTATCCTATATCATGCTGGTTTATGTAAATCAGAACTAAAACTGCGTGCTTTTACCTATAGCAAGAATTCTTTCTCATGATCTCTAATTTTCCTAAAGATTTTTGAAGAATTTAAACACCCAACTGATGCAGTAAAAATTCTCTAGAAGTAGGAGGATAGATAGCTTGTAAGGGGGTTTAGAAGCTGAGGCAAATCTCTATCTTCCATGTCTGAAACTGTGTGAAAAGTGCTAAGGGTCGTATTTGAAAAATAATTTCTTAGAGAGTACACAAATCTACAAATACATTGTGGACTGCACAAAGGATCTCTTGGACTCCAAAGTAATAACAGGTATAAATACACCTGAAGAGCTGATACACTGATTTATGTTCATCTGCTTGTTGTGTGAGAAAGTAGTGGTGTCTTGAAAGAAATAAGATGTCCTCTTGGATTGGGGGTTTCTTTTGCTTTCTCAAAGTTACACTTGGAATTGCAGCTTTCCTTAGCAAGCCCTTGCAGTGAGTTTTCCCTGAATGCGTGGCTCCACTGCCTATCTAAACCCAACAGTTTCTTTCCCTGCCTTTTTGGAACGGGGGGATCTGTGGGGCATGCCTGCCTTTTTTCCCCCAGTCCCTATCATGACCCATTGCCAAAATCCTCCTGGATCCTAAGGTAGACATCTCCTAATTGCTTAAAATACCACAATTCAGTACCCCTTTCAGTTTAAAAATTTCATTGATTATGCAATGCTTGCAACTATGCTGCTTATATACAATTACCAGTTTCATTTAAAAGCTTACAACAGATTGGTACAACTGCACTGACCGTATACAAAGATACAAATACTACTTCAGTTCACATACTCAAAGGTTTTGCAGGTTACAAAGTAATGCCTACATATGTATATATATGAAGAGACAAACATCAATTGAACTATCTAAATACCCACAAAGCAATAACTAAACTATTGGAATGAATCATGTGAGACTCTGTTGCAATTCAAATTTATTTTATTGATTTCTTGTTAAGTAGTTTGTTCTGTCATACCCTCACGTTCTCCCCAAGTTGATTCACCCTTGGGTTTTACCCTCCCTCAAAGCTATCCTCACGCCATTCCCCACCTCTTGTTCCAGTTCTTTCCCTGCCTATCATGGTATCCCAGCTCTTGATTCCTGAACCTTCTCTGCCACTTAAACCTGGGGCCAATCCCTGTTTGCAACACCCCTTTGGAATTCCCCTATTCCTCAAAGCCCCATTGGCTCACATGACCCATCCTCTCCACCCTCCTACCCAAATTGGCCCAGGACACTTTATGTAATCCCCTCACTCCTCCCCTGAGAATTCCCTATTGGTTAGCTGTTAGTGTCCACCCCCTGACTTGTATGTAGACAAAACCCCTTGCACAATACAGCTAGGGGCTTTTTGTCCCGTTCCTTTCAGCTGGAGTAAGCTGTTCCCTGTGGAACCTCAAGACGAAGAGCCTCCTCCTCTGTCCTCTGCCTGGTCCCTGTCCTGGCTTGTGTCTGGCACATTAGAGCTAGTGGCTCTAAAATTTCTGCCTCTGGTAAATCCCCATACCAAGGCAGTTCCCCACTCCTGGCATGGTGCCGGAGCTCTAAGAGCTAGCCCAGGTTCAGCAGCCACCTCAAGACTCCGTTTTTTTCATGCAGGAAAAAAGCCTATTCTTTATTCACATAACACATTTTTATACAGCTTTTACAGACCTCGTGTGCAACTTTAATTGGTTAGTAGCTTTCTTGACAATTACTGTATTGGTTAGTAAAAGGTATTTTACTTAATCTGTCAAATCTCTCTTATTTTTAAACTGTTCACATATTTTCTTCAATTAACTCTTTGGGATAGATTCAATATTTATGCAGGTGCTAGTTGTTTTTCACCCAGTAATAGACTGTTGTGTTAATGAACTATTCATACCAAAATTGTTTTTGCATGGGAACTTGCAAAGTACTAGATGCGCTTAGAAGAAAGACAGATCAGCTGTCTGTAATAGAGCAGGCCTGATTTTATGATGGTTTTTTTCAGTAATTTTTCTACCTGACTTCAACACTAAATTGTACAACTGAACACAGGTTTACATGGAACTTCATACGTATATAAACATAACAACCTATGGTATACAAATATATTGACATCTGTGTAAGTATAACAATACACATGGTGAGCCTGTACATAAGTATGCAGATGTTAAAGTACATATCTAAATTTCTGTATGCTGTAACTAAGTAAGTATAATTTGAAATACATTTCTTGACATGTAGATGCCGTTAGCCTCGCCAGAGTCTCAGCCCACATGCAGCTCCCCCAGTCCCTTCAGACCCTCCAAGACCATCAGCCCCCACAGTGCTGCCATTCCCCTCAGTGTCCTCAGTGCCCTGGGCCCCACTACTCCTTCAGCCCACGCCATTTCTCTGTCCCCTCCTTCCCTGCGATCACCATTGGGTCCCCCAGACCCCTCAGTTTCACTACTTTGTCTCAGCCCCCACAGCCTTACCACCATCACCACCCACAGCAGCACCATGCCTTCAGTGGTACTGTCTCCTGTGACAGCCTTGGTACCCTCAGCTGTGCTGGTCCTTCAGCGACTCCCTGCTGGCTTAAGCCCAGACACTCTGCAGGGGGTCAGTGCCTGGTGCCTCTGGAGGTTCCTTCCATTCCTGTCAGGTGTGGAGAGCTGGGACC